ATATATTGGAAAAATTGATTAAAACTAAAAGTATTTAATACTTAACTCATTATAAACGTAAAAAGTTTAATTTATAAAATAAAATACGTGTTTTTATTGTTATAATAAAAGTGTCATTAACTAATTAATATTTGGGATGGGAATGGACCCCGACCCATCGGGTAACCCGGTCCACCCGCCCTGGTCGGGGACGGGGATTCCCCGAAAAATCGGGTCCCAGGGACGGGGACGGAGATCCCCGCTTGGCTCAAGCCGAGGATGGGGCCGGGGACGGGTACAGCACTCCCCGCCCTCGCCCCGCCCCGCCCCGCCCCGTTTTTTATATATATATGTATTGTGGACTTTGGGCTTTGGCCTGTTAATTGTATTAGTCAATAGTCATTAGAGAATGCATCCATCTCCAGCCCAGCCCCAACGTCTTCTCTTCATCGTCTCCTTCCAAGAAGTTCCAGCCCAGCCCTAGCGTCTTCTCTTCATCGTCTCCCAGAATCCCTATTAACGTCTGACGATACGACGAATCCCTCCTCACCCTTAATAAGATACGACTCCATCTCCCTACCCTAATCGGCGACGACATTTTGGTTCTTCGCCCCTTCCTCCAGACCTTCTCCATGAACCTGAATCCAAATTCATCACTTAGCCCTTTGTTAACAAGAAAGATTATCAACCAACATCACCTTGTTCACTTTTGTTGTTCGGTGGACGGGCCTGCACTTCAGACATCAATGACGGTATTTCTTCTTCTAGACTCGAAGGTAAAGCACTCGTGATTGATTAGAGCATGAAGCAATCGTAGTTGTTTTACCAAGCGAAGCAGGTACACATTTCAGTTCGATTTTTAGATTTTCTATTTGATGCATGATGAGTGCATGAACTAATCTTTAAAATTTGAAACCTGTTGTACCTGCTGAATGGTTTTCTAGGTTTTGATGAATATCTGATTCGTAATACAGTAGTAAGTCATTAGTATATGGTTAACGAAAATGTATGGTTGTAACGCATTGTAAGTGTTTGATAAAATGTCTAACAAAACTTTGATTGGGGATGTTTAGATAGTTTCAAAAAAAAAAAGTATAACCCAATGAAACATTTTTCATGGTTTTTCTAAATGGTATTTGTGTTATAGATTATGCCTTTTTGGTACTTTGCCTAGCAAAATAACATGATTTGAACTATTGCTCAACAAGTTTTTAATGATTTTTATCTTTCTGGGATCTGTTTCATTGCTAATGTTTGTTTGTCTCACAAGTTGTAATAGCATAACTTATGATTTTTGGGTGGTGGTGATGGGATCAGGGAGTGGGTGGATGTGTTCAGTCTTATCCTTTCAGGGTTCTATGTTGGACATATTGGTCTCAATGTATATATATTTGTGCTTTTTGTCAATAACACAGTCATATTTGACTAGTCTAACCAGAGCCTCTGATGTGACAACCAAGAACCCTATCTATTCACTACCTTAACTACCAACTGCAACCTCTTGTTGCCTTGCTGCCAACCAGATTCATGTCTACTATCTTTCCGAGCCGATTGAATTCAACATGTGTATCTCACAATCGAGAAAGAGTCTTGTGTGTTTCTTTCCTTACCGCCTCTGTTTCCAAACCTCACGTGTGTGCATCTTCAATTCCTCTTAATAGTTTCCTGTTAATTCCCCATTTGTATTCCCATTCAAACTATCTAACAGCTCCCTTCTAACATAGCCCAAAAGCCCTTTTTCAGTCTTCTTCTTTACTTCTCCCTTGATTATGCATGTTAATGCTCTACACAAGATTAGGCTGTTTATGCAAGGCTAAGTAAAATTATGCAGTTTCTACTACTTTCTGTTTATGCAAGGCTAAGTAAATAGATGTTAGCAGACATGAAGATTAAATTGATGTATTCCAATTTATCATACATATGGAGAATGGAGATTAAATAGTCTTCTTCTTTACTTCTCTTCTACTAAATAGGTTGTTTTGGTTTTAAAAAAAAAGATCCCCGTTTCCCCGTTGGGGATCCCCGTTCCTCGTTGGGGACGGGGATGGGGATGTGATCATAATCCCCGGCGGGGACGGGGATGGGGATGAGGACACATATGAGGGATCGGGGATGGGGACGGGTATTGGGGTCCCCGCCCCATTACCATCCCTAATTAATATAATAAAGAGTATAAAAAAAGATAATGAAGAAAACCGTGACTTACTTTATAATCTAATTAAACAAAAAAAAAAAAGATAAAAGTTGTAAAAAATTAAAAGTCAACAAAGAGTTAATCAGATGAATAAAAAGTAAAATAAAATGATAATCCAGTGACTAAAATTGTAATTAAGGATCAAACTTTATAAGTGTTGACCACAAATTGTAATTTACTCTTTTTTGAATGACTAACTCTTTATAATGATGTGGAAACAAGTCACGTTTTAAAAAAGTTTAATTTATTTTAGAGAATATAATATCAATTATATATATATATAGAGAGAGGAAAGATCAAATGTTAACCAACAATTTTGTGTTAACTTTGCAAACCATGTCAACCAATCAAATTTCATTCTTCTTGTAAGTTTATGTCATGTTTACAATTTAATTACAAGGGTAATTCAGTAAATTGATTTGATATGTAACTCTCAAACAATTAATGGAGAGTTACAGATCATCAAGCACAAAAAATATGCATTTATAATATTAATATTTTTATTTTTTTTAATCTTGATCTTCCATGTTCATTGTTTTATGAGTTTTTAATTCGCATAGGAAACACGGTAGTAAAATTTTTGGTATCGATCAAGCTATGGATAAACGCAATGGAAAAGAAATCGACAACAGTGAGAAGATTAAAATGGTTTATGATGACAACGGCGTTCGAGGTTGGGAAGTGAAGAAATTAAACAAAGCGAATGTCTTGGTAATAGATTAATATTTTTATTAGATTCGTTTTAATCGAAATTATGTTCATTACGATGCGTTGTGTTTTTTTTTAATTTATCTTGTATTGATAACTTTTTTTTCTTTAATTGCACCACGTGTTCATAGCATAGATGTTATGTGTTTATATATTTTATACAATATGAACAAGGGGTGAACACGATATGAACAATATGTGAACAATCACCATAAGACTAGAAACATATATGAACAAGGGGTGAACCTTAAACGGTGTGGATGCAATGCATGTATAAAACTCCAATTGACAAAGGATCGCTCATGAATGTGTTTATAATGAAGGAACTGTTGCTCACAAGTTGTTCATATTGTGTTCATACCTATTTTTTTTATTTATTTCCTTTCGTATAACAATTATTTTTATTATGTTCATATTGTGTTCATGAATACTATGTAGTCCAAGTTCATATATATGTCAATTTTTTGTTCGTATTTGACACAATGGTTCACACACACACACACACACACACACATATATATATATATATATAGTTGTGTTCATATGGTTCTTATATTAACAAAAATTGTAGAATTTTTTGATTTTGTAACTCCCAATTAATGATATGGGAGTTACATAATTTTTTTTACCTAAATACCCTTTTCAACTTTGTTCACTTATCTTTATGAAATTTTAAATTTAAAAAAATAAGTTTTTATCATGATTAATCACAACCGTTTATTGAAAGATTGAATGACCAAGATCGGTTAACAAAGTTAACACAAAAACTTTGGTTAACATTTGAACTTGCCCATATATATATATATATATATATATATATACACACACACACACACACACACACACTAGAAGAGTATTCGTACAACACAGCGAGATACATCTCGATTTTAATGTTTTCATTTTATTTTTGTCTCAGTCGATGTTATAGTACGATTTTATGTGGTTTTGAGAAAACGATATTAGTATCAAATTAACTATTTAAAATTCATATTTTTTGTGTAACTTTTTAATTCAATTTTTTTTATAATTTAATTTAGGTTCAATAACGAAATAATTTATATTTGGTTTAATAATATAATTTTTTTATAAAGATAATAATTAATTATTTTGCTAGAACTCGATAATTATCTTAATTATATTTTAGATTTTATATATTTTAAAATGAGATGTTTATCCTTTATTTGATTATGTTTATCCGCAGTTAGTTACACGAATTAAAACATGGAGCTTTAATAAGTTGTACTTGTGCAAAATTTACTTGTAATCTGAAATTTTAAGTAATATACATCAATGTACAGTACTTCATACATAAAAATAGTTTTTAAAAGTTTTTACCAAATGCTTTATAATATAATATAGATTATTGATATACATACTATATTAAATAAAAAATATTTCTCTCTATTTAATATTTAATTTTATATTTTAGGAAATAAGAATTATACCAAATTACATTGCATTTAATTTGCTCTTTAAAAAAGAGATAATGCGAAAATCATGTGTTTTTACGTTACATACTAAATATTTGGTATTTCCATTACAAGCTTTAAACGCATCATTTATTAATTAACGGTTTTGTTTCAAAAAYCATAATCACCATTGCTCTATAAATACTATGCAAGAACGCATCTACTTTTACGTATTTTATGTCCCCATTCGAAATGACAACCCGTAGCCGTGTCATTCTCATCCTACTCGGTTTCTTGTTCTGCTTCCTCCACCTTGATGCCTCTATCGCATTGCAYGGCACTGAGACTGATTCCAACCTTCGATCGGCTGACCCACACAATCAGATTTTAGATAACGGCATCACACCGCTTGATCCAAATAACCCTGAAGTGGTAGCGAATGCAAAGTTTGCAGTGGAAAAGCACAATGAAGATAAGAAAGAACACTTAGTGTTTGTGAAAGTGGTGAGAGCTGAGAGTAAATCGATTGCAGGAATAACTTACAACCTCATATTCGCAGCAAAAAATGGCTCTGCACAAAATTTATATCACGCTTTCGTTGTTATTGACTATGTCGGTCAGAAGCAACTTTTTTCATTTGATAGAGTAATGTAATTGTTTGTTTGTGAAATTATTATCACAATAATGTTTTTATATTATAGTGTATTATTATCATTATATAAGTTAATGAAATTTTGGAATATTAAATGAATATTATGGCTTTCGATATTGAAAACTTAAAGTATTCAATACTAATATCTTTATTGATTGAGTTGTATTGGTTGTACAAATGTGATGTGTTGCATTTGAAACGTTCTCTCTCTCTCTCTCTTTCTCTCTCTCTCTCTCTCTCTCTCTATATATATATATATATATCGAAAAAATTGATTAAAACTAAAAGTATTCAATACTTAACTCATTATAAACGTAATAGTTTAGTTTATAAAATAAAATACAGTGTTTTTATTGTTCTAGTAAAAGTGTCATCAACTAATTAATATAATAAGGATATAACAAAAAGGAAGGAAGATAATGAAGAAAAAGACAAATCACAGAGAACGAAAATGGTGACTTACTTTATAATCTAATCTATAATATATTATAAAGCATTTGACAAAAATTCTTAAAAACCATTTTTTATGCATGAAATACTATTTATTGATGCATATTACTTAAAATTGAAGATTATCTATACTATATTATAAAGCATTTGTAAGAAATTTTTAAAAACCATTTTTTATGCATGAAGTACTACTTATTGATGCATATTACTTAAAATTGAAGATTATCTATACATATTATAAAACATTTGTAAGAAATTCTTAAAAACCACTTTTTATGCATACAATACTGTTTATTAATGCATGTTACTTAAAATTCAAGATTACAAGTAGATTGTGCGTAAATACAACTATTAAAACTTTATATCTGAATTTGTGTAAGTAACTGCAAATAAACATAATCAAATACAAGGTAAGTATCTCGTAAGTAATAATGCATAAATACAACTTATCAAAGCTTCATATTTGAATTCATGTAACTAACTACAAATAAACATAATCAAATATTGGATAAACATTTCATTTTAGATATAAAAAATCTATAATATAATTATAATAATCATTGTCTTATAACAGAATACTTAACTATGATTTTTATAAAAATTACATTATTAAATCAAAAATAAATTACTTCGTTATTAAACCTAAACTAAATTATAACTTAAAAAAAGTTGAATTAAAGAAATTACACAACAAAACAAGAACTTTTAAATAATTAATTTGATACTAATATCGATATATTTTTTTTTTAATTTTAAGATATCTTCAAATTTATATTCTATTCAAAAATAAAAACATTATCGTTTTTTCTCAAAACCACATTAAACCGCATTATAACATCGACAGAGAATAGAATAGAATATAATGAAACATTAAAATCGAGATGTATCTCGCTGTATTGCACGAGTACCCTTCTAGTTAAACAAAAAAAAGAAAAAGATAAAACTAAAAAGATGTAAAAAAATTAAAATACTTTTTAGTTAACAAACCTTTTTAACTAGAGTTAATCAGATAGATAAAAAGTAAAATAAAATGATAATCCAGTGACTAAAATTGTAATTAATTTTAAATAGGGATCAAACTTTATAACAAGTGTCGACCATAAGTACCAAAAATGTAATTTACTCTTTTTTAATGACTAATTCTTTACTATAAGGGTACTCGCGCAATGCATCGAAATAAATCTTCATTTTAATGTTTAGTTTTTATTATTTGTTTTTATCGATATAATACAATTTTATGTGGTTTTGAGAAAGCGGTAATAGTTTTATTTTTGAATGAAATATAAATTTGAATATAGCATAAAAATTTTAAAAAAAATCGATATTAGTATCAAATTAACTATTTAATAGTCTTTGGTTTTTTGGTATAACTTCTCCAATTCAAATTTTTATTATAATTTAATTTAGATTTAATAACAAAGTAATTTATTTTTGGTTTAATAATATATATTTTTTTATAAAGATAATAATTAAATATTCTATTAGAACTCAGTGATTATCTTAATTATATTTTAGATTTTATATATTTAAAATGAATGTTTATCCTATATTTGATTATGTTTATCTGTAGTTAGTTACACGAATTTAAAAATGGAGTTTTAGGAAGTTGTAATTACACAAAATTACTCGTAATCTTGAATTTTAAGTAATATGCATCAATAAACAGTATTTCATGCATAAAAAATTATTTTTAAGAGTTTTTGTTAAATGCTTTATAATATTGTATAGATAATGATGTGGAAACAAGTCACATATTATAAAGTTTAATTTATTATAGAGAATACAATATCAACTATATTAATAATATATATATATATATATATATATATATATATATATATATTAGAAGAATACTTGCACACTGTAGTGAAATACATCTCGATTTTAATGTTTTCATTTTTTTTTTGTCTCAGTTGATATTATAATACGGTTTTGAGAAACGATAATGTTTTTAAGTTTTGAAAAAAATATAAATACGAAATATCATGAAAAATGAAAAAAAAAATATTGATATTAGTATGAAACTAACTATTTAAAATTTCTCTTTTTTCTGTATTTTTTTAATATTATTTTAATATTTTTGATTTAATAATATAA